AAAGTAGCTCTTTTTGCTGATGACTCAACTTTATACTCCTGTCTTGACAAAAAGTCTTCTCTTTTTGATCGCCTAGAACAAGTAGCTGATCTTGAATCTGATCTCACTTCAGTAATAGATTGGGGTTCACAGTGGCTTGTGAATTTCAATTCTAACAAACCCAGTTGTTTACTGCAAACAACTACCGTAATATGGTCAACATTCCTATATTAATGAACGCCAATCCTCTTACTGAGTCTTCCTCTTTACGTCTTCTTGGATTATCACTTACTACTGACCTTTCATGGAAACGATATATACAATCGATTGCTAAATTAGCTTCTGCTAAGAATGCTTCTCTTTATCGTGCTCGCCATTTCCTCACTTCTGATTCCCTTCTCTACCTCTACAAATCTCCTATATGTCCCAGTATGGAATACTGTTGTCATATTTGGGCTGGTTCTTCTGACAATTCACTTTCTCTTATTGACAAGGTCCAAAAAAGCATTGTAAATGTTGTTGGACCTGGACTATCTGCTAAGCTTGAGCCTCTCTCCCATCGTCGTAAAGTTGCATCTCTTTCTCTTTTCTACAAATACTATTATGGTCACTGCTCAAAGGAGTTATCATCTCTAGTTCCATTAACTAATATTCATTCTCGTTTTACTCGTAATTCAGCTAAGTCTCATTCGTTTACTGTATCTGTCCCTGCATGCTCAAAAAACTTTTATTCATCTAGTTTTTTTTCCCTTTTTCACTTCAATCCTTTGGAACTCTCTCCTATCTTCATGTTTTCCTGACTCATACAACCTTCAACTTTTTTTTTTTAACTTCAACTTCAACAAGTCTTCTGTCAACTGTTTTCTTGCTCTATAACTATGTTCTTTTCTTTTCCTAGTAACTCCCAACTTAATAGTGGTTGCTTGTAGCCTTGTTGGGAGTGAATGCAAATAAAATAAAAAATAAATATTGGAAGCAATATACAAGAGCAAATGTAACTTTGTTTTAACCTCCTTTTATTCTTAACTATTAATTTTGATAACAACCATATAAACAAGAAGTCTCTATAGCTTTATTGATAGTTTTACAACTCAGTTATAAATATGGTTTTGTCTTGCAGCAACAATAAATTTATGTTAGATGAGAATGTATATCCTAACTTAATCTAGTGTTCACATACTGTTTCAGCAATTAAAGTAATAAACATTTTTAGACACTTGTTTTCATAATTAACAAAACATGACAAGATGTTTTGCATTATTATATTCGAAAACAAAAATTTTTGTTTATTATTTTCTATAAAAGATCATTTTAATTTTATAAATCAATTTTCTGACAGATTTAAGCTAACAAATTTAATGGGAATAATTTGTATGAAATGATCTTAATTTTTTGAAGTTGAAGTTGTGATCAGATCCAAAACTTATATTTAAGACACACACATGTCAATTTAAGCCCTTTTTAAGGCACACACAAGCTAATTTAAGAAAAAAAAGTAGTTTTATAAATTTCCTCCGGAAACTCATTTGTTGAGTGAAATTTATTTAATGATTTAATAATGATTATTATATTATTATCACTACTATTATTATAATATCATTATTATTATACATAATAAATACTTAGTATAATTATATCTGCTCTCTATCAAATTCAAAAACTTTTAGTCACAGTATGCTTGTTAGACCGCTAGCTTTGTAACTAAGTTTTCTTTTTCTTTTTATAACTTAAATAATTTACAACTCTCGCAGCTTAGTAAGTCCAAGTAGTAAACTCCAATCTTAAATTAAACTTCAAATCAAATTCACCCAAAAGCAGATTTAAATTTTACTTGAAACTTACTTAAACTTTAGTTTAATTGATTATTGTTACTGACTCCATGTAAATTATTGCACCAAAATTTTTAACAATATTAAATACTTTTAAAAATACTATATTTACAAAAAAAATATATAGGTGGTAGAAATCTTCTTTTTTTGTATAATTAACTGCACTTAACCAATATTTCAATCCTAATTTATGTATGTTTGGTTGTGAAGAATTGAGATATTAATATTAATTTTTTTTAAAAGAAAGAAGTACAAAGGAATGTCTGACTAATAAATTGTTTCAAATTAAAAAAAAAATAGTCTCAGTTAATCAATTGCTTAATTTATAACATAAATAAAAAACTCTGCCATATAAAAAGATGTCACAAAGCGAACTTAAATTTGGCTCACCTTTTGACAGATCTTTTTGCAGATCTGCACATTAAAAAAAAAAAAAGTCATAATTTAAAAACGATAATTTTGATACAGATCATTTTGCAGATCTGCACAAATTAATAAAGAAAAGAGACATAATTTAAAAATTTTCCCTAAGAACTGGCTTGTTGCATTTAGCAGACAATGGAAGCATAGGCTTCCATTCCTTCCTGATCAAGTTAATATTTATCATTTTAAAAAAGGCAGAGCAGAGAAACTTACACATCAAAAATTTTGTCAAAATTAAATTGCCTTGAAAGCTGACCAAGAATGCATGGATATATTCAATAACACTATTTTCCTGAGAATAATCTGAAACTGCATTAATAAACTCTAATACAAAAAAATAACTTTAAGCAAAAACTGGGGTGTATTTAGCTGCAAAAGATTTAAAGGCTGAGACAAATAATTAAAAATAGGAATACAAAAAAAGCAAAAAGAAAGAAACAGCAGCATTGATTAAGCAGATAATATTCAGATAAAAGAAAGTGTTGTTGAATAACAAAAGCCAAAAAGAACAGTAACAAAGTTAGTGTTAAATAATGAAAACTGACAAAGAATCAATTTATTCCTCAGAAGATGAAAATTATGTACCTAGTTTAATTAAACATCATTGAAAAGTTTCATTGTAAAAAATGCGTAGAATAGCTGTTTAAAGTCAATGTATTTTATAAATTAAAATAAAAATCATAGCAATAATTTTTTTCATATAAAATGAAACAAAACAATGATGTTTATGAGTAACTTTTTTTTCACAAGTTTAAAAATGCTGTTGGTTGTGTGTTTGTTTTTTAAAGTTTTAGGTTTTATACTGTTAAAAATAGTTGTATGTAATTTGTTAAAATCTTATCTGTAATTGTCAATATAAAAAATAATCAGCAAATAAATTCAAATCTCATTTAAAAGGTGAAATTATTCCTAAGATAAAATATTACAAAGTAATAGTTCAACAAATCACTACAAAGTAATAAATTAATACATTATACTGTAACAATACTATTATTAATAGTATATTTGAAATATTACGTTTATGTTGATTTATAGGATGCTGTGCAATTGGTATTGTAATTTTAACAGAGTTTGTAAAGTGAATTACAAGTGAAAAGTGGGGTAAAAAAATAACAACAAATAAGAGTAAAAAATAATTAAATATAAATATTAAGCTCTCAATGGTTTATTCATGAAAAAATTGTATTGAAATGAGGTATTAAAGTTAAATTATTTATTTCTTGTTATGTGCACTCAACTGGTGACAAATTTAATTTGTCACGTGGTAAAGCATAAGATGCTTGTCTAACTGGATAAACTAGTTATTAGTGCTAATCTTCATCTAAGTGCCAGTAAACGCCATAGATGCGACTCTGAGGAGATGTTTATTACTCAACCACTACACAAGTTATTTCAGAATTGTAAACCGAACAATTTCATAAATAATGTCTTTCATAATCCAACCCATTCAAATGGATTAGGCCACTATGGATTCTCATAAAACGATTGTGACCAGCACTATGAAACCTGGTTAACAGGTCTAGAAATGCTATTGTGAAGCATCTTGTGTAGGCGGTATGGCTTCTCCTAAACATTAGTTTTTTGAAAATAAGTCTTTTTTGGATTCATTTACACTACTGTAAGAACTTGTAGTATCATATTGTAGCACAGCAAATCTTTCAATTAAGTGAAAAATACTATTGATATCATACTCCAAGGGGTAAATAGATGTTGATTGCAATGCATTAATGAGAAAATTTTCACACGATTTCCAAAAAAAGTTTTTTTTTTCAGAAAAAAATGCAACTTGATCATAACCTATCATTGTGTAAAGGAGGTAAGCATTGATGTTTTAAACTAAGATATTTTACAATGACTCAAAAAAATAAACTAACTCTTTATTTTAACAATATATTATAACAAAATATTCTATTAATTATTAATAATATTCTATAAATTTCTTGTAAAATTATGTACATTGCTATTTTCTTTAAAAAAATAATAGTAATCTATTTTTGCATGCTAACTTTGTAAAATTTTTCCACCTGAATTAATAACGTTTTAAGGGTTTGTAACTTTTTATCAGTTAACATTTTCTACATCTCAATCATGTTTAATCTAAAAATCTCTTACTCTTCCTTGTTTAGAATACTATATTTCAGCTGTTCTTTTAAAGCCCCCCTTCCTTTAATTCACTCTCTTTTAGATTAGGTCCATTGACATTGAGTCTACATCCGATTGTCATATGTTTGACATTGAGTCTACATCCGATTTTCATATGGTTGACATTGAGTCTACATCCGATAATCATATGGTTGACATTATACATATGGTTGACAGTCTACATTTGATTGTATTATTGTTAAATTTCTTTCTCTTTTCTTTAAATAGTACTCTAGCCACTGCCTAAAATAAACTATGATCATTTGTTTAATTAACCAAAATTAAATCTTTTATATCTTTTAGCTGAGTCCCATAATTTTAATGTTATTATTCCATCATGCTCAAATTACATCTATCCATTTAGTTTTTTTCCTCAGTGCTTTAGGATTTCTTTAGTACTTTAGAATTTCTTGTACTCATCTACTTATTTACTCAAGGCTTTAGAATTATTTCTTGTCTTTATGTTTCCCTGACAATTTACAGTATGAATCTTCTGCTAACTGTTTTCTTTACTATATTATGCATACATACATTCTGTATATGTGCGTAATGTAGTATTTAAAATAAATTTAAAAATATTTACGTGCCTAATATAGTATAAAAAAAAAACTTTAAAAATTTATGTACCTAAAATCCATAGTAATCCAGTACTACCAATCGTTCTGTACCCAGGGAACAAATATCCTATGATAATTTTTTACTTCTTTAACACAAAAGAAGATTTTTTTAACTTTACAAAAAAGTTAGAAAAAATAATCAAATAAATAATCAAATATAACAAAAATAAAAATAATATATATATATATATATATATATATATATATATATATATATATATATATATATATATATATATATATACACATATACATATATATATATATATATATATATATATATATATATATAAAATATATATATATATAATATATATATATATATATATATATATATATATATATATATATATATATATATATATATATATATATATATTTATAATTTATAACTATAAATTAGTAGAAAATCACTTGATAAAACTTTTTATTATTTAACACTGTGTTTCATCAATAAAGACTCATTAGAAAAGAAAAGATTAGATAATTCTGTTGTTAAATGAGTTAAATGTATTGTGTTAAATAAAAAAATTTTGTCGAGTGATTTTCTACTAATTTATATATATATATATATATATATATATATATATATATACACACATATATAAAAATGCAGCATTAGAATCACGGAAATGACGTCATAAAAACAGGAAGTTGTTGGGGGCATAAGTATATACATCGACTGACAAACAGCCTGACTCGCAGCGGAGTGCTGCAAGATCAACTGTGGGTTTGGCATAAGGCAGCAATGTCAAAATATTTTTGAAATTTTGACATATTACAGTTATTGCATAAGTATATTACATGTATTTATGATATAATATGTATTTTTTTACAAATTTTTTCAAATTTTATCTAGGATTTATTTTATAAACACTTTCAATAGCGAAAAATTTTTTGCGCAAAAATAAATTAATAAATAAATATGTTTTTTTTAATATCAAATTTAATAGTGTAATGAAAAGTAGTTTCTATAAGCATTAAATTAACTACAGGGTGTAAACAAAGGAGTAAATTTGATACAGGATTTCTAACAAAATAGGGAATTTGTCAAAATAATTTTTAATCTTCCCCCTCCGTCCTCCCCCACCCCATCCCTGCCGAGAGTAAAATGTGTTTGTGGGGTCTTTTTATTTTTTTTGTCTTTTTCTACTCTAAATAAAAAATACTGTAACATTTATTGAATATGATGAATATGAGATCAACACAAAATTAAATTGGCTTAAAATAACTCAGCAAATTAAACTTTGATTATTAAGAATAATATATTTTTATATTATTTTAATCAGTATACATTAATTATTATTAAGAATTATATATTTGATTTGATTTTATCCATAATATATCATTGCTGCTTTCATTTTAATAGTATTTTTATATATATATATATATATATATATATATATATATATATATATATATATATATTTCATTTTCACTGGTGGGCATTCATTTACATGGATTTCTTTTAATACAAGTGAGTAGTAAAGTAAAAGAATCTATTTTTCTTGTTAAATAAATTTCTAGTACCTGTTAGTCATAAAACATTTTTTGTATTTAACTTATATTTCAGCAGCGTTTTTTTTTTTTTAAATTAATCGAGAAAAAATAGTTGATAGATAACAAAAAGATTTTAGTCGATGCTAATAAGTAAAAAAATCATAATAGTTGACAAAAAAAGAAAAACAATAACTAAAAGACTTACCGTAACACTCACATTTATCAAAATTTCGTAAGTATCTGACACAAATGGTTTCTCAATATTTTGAATAATCTTATTTGACAAAGCAGTTGTACTATTTGAAATAGAGTTTGCAGTAAGACTTAATAAGCAGGGCTTACAAAACAGTGTGAGGGGAGGGGGGGATAATGAAGCACCTACCCACCACTACCACCTTTTTCTAAATGTGGTGGTGGTGGGTAAGTGCTTTGGGTCTTTTTTTTAAAGAAAATCCCAGGCATATAGGACTTTTTTTAAAAATTAACAATTGTGCCCCTCCATTTCGTAACCCATGTCATTGGTCATGATAAGTTATTTGAATTTTCAGCCAGGGATGTGGAGTCTGAGTTGGAGTTGCGGCATTTTCAGCGTCAGAGTCGTTAAACTAAATCGCATGTACAAAATATTACATTAACCTTATGTTTATAACAATCCTCAAACAATATTTCATAAATTAGTCAAAAAAGGAATTTTTAACTTATCGCATAATATTTTTCAAAGAATTCAAAGAATTTTTTTAAAATTTGGTTTGGAGGTTGTGTCGGAGTTGGAGTGGGAGTTGTGCTTAAAAAACTTTAACAACTGGAGTCAGAGTCGTTACTTTTAGGACCCCTGTTTTTTGGCTAAAAACATATATATGGAGTGAACTATTATGTATAAGTTTTTATAAAATAAATTTAAAAGGGGTTTTAAAAGCTAAAATATTTGTTTGAAACTTATGAGAACCATTGGACAAAAAAAACTAACACTAAACTATAAACTTTAAATGAATAAATTAAATTGCAACATTTAAATATAAATGATAAAAACAAAGCTACTTAATTCAACTAAAAGTAATGTTTTTCAACTTCAATTTAAAAAAATAAAGTTCATACAATACTGAATTTATTAAAAATTTTAGAACAACTAAAACGATTAGAAAATAAATTCACATAAAATTTTTGTCAGACAAAATGACCGATAGATGTCATTTTTTACCGGACAAGTGCCGGACAATGTCTGATGTACATCGCTTATTTTGAGCCCTGTATGCATATATATATATATTTATTTTTATTTTAAATTCACCTCCTCAAGGCCGAGAAGGCCACTACAGAAGGTCACTACAGACCGAGAAGGTCACTACAGACGAGGAGGCTATTTATTTGTGGTTATAACCCTCTCTCAACTCTATAACTCCGAAACACGAACCTTGACGAGCAAGGCCGCTGCGCGGAGAAACGAGTTGAGCGCAGTACTACCAGGGACATGGTGGGGATCTTATTAAATGTATATCCTTTCTATGTCATTTTTAATTTTACTATTGTCAGGTCAGTTTTAGGTTTTTTTAAAAATAATTGTTTTTAAGAACGCAAAAAAATTTTAAACTTTTTTTTTTAAAAAAAAAGTTATTTTTTTTTATTATTTGATAGACTACCTGCCCCAACCAAAACCTCAGTCGATATAGTGACACTTCCTTAGAGCAACAGGTTAAAAGATAGTCAATGTAGCAGCACTCACTTATAGCAGCAGCCTTTTAGATAGTTGATGTAGCAACACTCCCACTCACTTGTAGCAGTAAGCTATTAGATATATTTAGTAGTGGTGAAAACCATGGAGCTTTTATTCCTTCTTGTTGGTCATTGTTGACCAACAAGAAGGAATAAAAGCTTTTATTCCTGCCTGAATCCAGGAAGTTTTTCCCACTCAGTTTTTAACTGAGTGGAAAAAACATAAGCCTTGGTAGTGTCACAAAGAAAATCACAAAAAGATTCCCAGTCAGTTTTAGGTAGTAGTAAGTATTGCGATGATAGGGTGGTACCGAAAAGGAAGGACAAAATAAATGATTTAAAGTAATCATTTTATGGTCAGAACAACCTAAAGAAGAAAACGGAGAAACTAAGCTCAAGGTAGGATCAAAAACAAGACATAAATCAAGAAGTAAATGTAAATGATTATGGTAGTCAGGAAAACCAGTCACAAAGTTAACTATCAGAGTAAGAGATCAAGACACACAGAGTCAGTGGCAGTCCAAGGGTCAGTGGCAGTGCCAGCGTCAGTGACACCAGAGCCAAGCCATTTAGTGTGATGAGCATTAAACTCACCAATAACAATATATTAGCAAATGGGTAAAGAGAGAGAGCATGGTCAATACGGTCAGAAATTACATCTAAAAGAGTGCAGATTTGGGAGAAAGGAGAACAATAAACAACAAAAAGACAGTTAATAAAGTGAAGAGGTGCTAAGCAGAAACACATAAAAGAATGGTCAAAGAATTCAAACTTGAAATCACATAATCAACTAATAAGTGGATTGATGCGTATGTATCAATCAACCTATAAGTACGCATGTAACGCTTGATGTTTTAGCGAATCAAAGGATACCTATTAACATAATAGGTATCCTTTGATTTTTATTTTTTAAATTGAGATCACTTTTATTTAATAAATTGAGATCACAAGAAGGAAGAATTTGGTAATTTAACGAGAGGTAAAACTTAACATATAGAAAGTTGCTTTGAAACATGAATATTAGTAAGAGATATTAAAACAGTTAGGTGGTCTGGATGATTTTTAATGATTAATATTTTAATTTATAATTAATGTTTTTATTTTTAATATATATATACAAATACATATATATATATATATATATATATATATATATATATATATATATATATATATATATATATATACATATATTTATATACATATATACACATATATATATATATATATATGTTTATATACATATATACACATATACATATATATATATATACATATATATATATATGTATATGTGTATATATATATATATATATATATATATATATATATATATATATATATATATATATTTATTTATGCATTATATAAATATATACATATATATAAATATATATATATATATATTTATATATATATATGTATTTATATAATGCATAATATATCTAATGATAGTGATATAGTGTTAGATAAGTCTGAAGTTGTAATTTAATCTTATTCTATAAACTCATTCCAAATAGGCTAAAATTACCAAAAAGAATATTTTTGTTGAGGAACAGTTATGAGGAAATGCAAGCAAAACTTGTGATTGGAACAGAAGTGAATATCTATAAGTCAGGCTGGAGAGATAACATGAAACTCTTGCATCATTTGACTTTAGTATTCAAATCCTATTAAGAAAAAGGATATTAACCACTTTTCAAGAGCCATTCTTGCCATTCTTGCTTTTGTTTTTATATCTAAAACAGTGCAACATTACTGAAAACCTAAAGATTTTTATTCTAAGACGGAGCAAAGTATTGATTTGCTGAATAAATTTACAACAAATAAGACTACAGTAACTTGTCACAAATACAGAAACCTACAAGAAGAGGTTTCAGGTATTATTCGGTATATTATAGAAAAACAGGACACAGAAACCATTAGCACTTGAGACACCAAGAAGCAACTAGTGAACGAAACATGCAATAATTGCATCTGTTATCCCTAAATAATCCCTAATAAATGCATCTGTTATCCCTATTTTCAAAAATTCCGGAGAGCGATCTGATTTATCTAACTACCGTCCCATTAGTCTTCTTCCTGTCATAAGCAAGGTTTTTGAATCTTTAGTCAACAAACACTTAATCTCTCATCTTAAATCAAATAACTTACTTTCTGATCATCAATATGGATTTCGGTGTTCTCGTTCTACAGCTGATGTGCTAACAGTAATAACCGATAGGTTTTACCGTGCATTAGATAGAGGTGGAGAGGTTAAGGCTATCGCACTTGACATTTCTAAAGCTTTTGATAAAGTTTGGCATGCTGGTCTTCTCCATAAGCTTTCTTCTTATGGTGTAGCTGGTAACGTCTTTAAGATTATTGAGTCCTTTCTTTCCAATCGTAGTATAAAAGTTGTTCTCGATGGACAACACTCTTCTTCACATCTTGTAACTTCAGGGGTTCCTCAAGGTTCAATCCTTGGCCCTATACTCTTTTTAATTTACATTAACGATCTTCCAGATATTCTCACATCTAAGGTGGCATTATTCGCTGACAACACTACCATTTACTCTTGTCATGATAAGAAGCCTACACTCTCTGATTACTTGGAGGGGGTATCTGAGCTTGAAAAGGATCTCACTTCTGCTACAGCATGGGGCTCACTTTTAAAAATAGTAAACTATTTTTAAAAGAAATTGAAAAATTTCCCACCATTGTGTACCACCCATCACAAAAAAAGTACTATAAATAAAAGAGTTTGTTTACATATTATGTAGTATGTTATTTTGCCAGATGCAAATGAATCAACGAATCAACAAATATCTTTTATTTGCAATTATTAAAAAATGTTGAAATAACATTCATCATAATGTTCTTATTAGTTTAGTTGATTCAATGCTTCATTGTTGTGATGCTGTTTTAAAAACAAAGAGATATGTCACCAAGTACTGTCTTAATAAAAGTTATTGAAAAGTTTGTAATAAATTTTTAAATTTTTATTAACTTAAGTTGTTTCTTAACTTGTACTTAATAAACTATATAATTATAAATAACATTTTGAAAATGTTGAAACTTTTACTAAACACACATACACACTCATATAAATTACACAAACATATAAACTTAACTAAAAAAAAAGATTTTTTAAATCATTTAAAACAATTTTGACATTTAATGTCAAAAATTTTTAAATTTTTAAATTCTTAATTTCTTTCCCAGGAAACGTATGTAGTTTTTCGTCTTGTATGTCCTCGAATAAGTATTTTAATTTAGATAACTTAGTCACGACCGTTTGAAAGTTTTATTGTATGCGTTGCTGAAAAAATGTTTTAAAAACAATGAAAGCAAAATTACAAAAGTTTTAAACATTAAAAAGAATGATTTTTCTATATTTTATTTGTTTGTTTTTCTCAAAGAAGAAATTGTCATCTGTTTGTAAAATATATTTGTATAATTTTAATGTAACGAGTACATATCAAGAGTTGAAAATTAAGTTATCGAGATTTGGTTACTCTGAAAAATATCTGGTCTTTAAAAAATGTTATTACTTTTATATAGCACTTAATACTTTTAAGGTTCATTCTTTGCTCAAACAACATTAGTAATTCCAAGCATTAATTAAAGAAGAAAAGCATCTAGAATAAAGTGGATATTAAAATATTATTAAAAACTTCAGGAGCTTTTACAAATCACTTTAACAACTTTATAAAAACACACTTTATAAAAAGTGTAGCAACAATAAAAACAATACTAAATTTTATTGGTTGATTTTAAAATTAACTTGCATTTTTACAGACCATTAGTAACCTTATATATAATGCTTCAAACTTTTTATACATTACGTTTTTATAAAGTTGTTTGTTATGCTTTATAAAAACATTACTTAAGTTTTGAATATTATTAGAATATCCACTCTATTTTTCTAGATGCTTTTTTACTTCAATAAAAATTTAAGATTACTGTTTTTTGAACAAATTTACTGTTGTTTGAACAAAGAATGAGTTATAAAAGTTATAGGTGCATTATAAAAGTAATAACACTATTATAGTGTTAAAAGTAATAACACTATTATAGTGTTATTACTTTTATAACACTATTATAGTGTTATTACTTTTATAACACTATTATAGTGTTATTACTTTTATAACACTATTATAGTGTTATTACTTTTATAACACTATTATAGTGTTATTACTTTTATAACACTATTATAGTGTTATTACTTTTATAACACTATTATAGTGTTATTACTTTTATAACACTATTATAGTGTTATTACTTTTATAACACTATTATAGTGTTATTACTTTTATAACACTATTATAGTGTTATTACTTTTATAACACTATTATAGTGTTATTACTTTTATAACACTATTATAGTGTTATTACTTTTATAACACTATTATAGTGTTATTACTTTTATAATGCAGTTAGTTACTAGACTGTTATTACTTTTGCAGTTGTAAATTTATTGTTTTATTTTTTATAATTTTTTTGTTAATAAATATAAGTTGATTTGCTCCTTGAAAAGATCACTTTTGAAGATATTTTTCCATTTTTGCATTTTGTGATTGCTTAATTCAACCTTTGTTGAATATAAACTTTAATATTATATTATTATTATTATATTAATTCCATTAATATTATATATATATATTTTACAAACACATTGCAATTTATATTCTCGCTTTTCTCTTTTAAAAAAAGTTAAATAAAGAAAAATCATTCTTTTTATTGTAGACTTTTATCAGACTTTTTAATGCAGACTAAAACTGTTTTTATTTTGCTTCGCCTTAACTAACTTGTTGCTGAATGTAAAGAAACAAAAATTAAAACAGTTTGCAAATTATTTAAATTATTAATTTATTTCAATTTTTTTCTATTTAAATTTCTTTTTATTTCCTATTTTGTTAGTTTTGTATTTTTTGTTTTTGAAACTTTTTCCACAATGATTATTATATTATAAAACTTACAAACGACTGTGACAAATTTGTCTAAAACAAACCTGGAAAATATTCTTATTGAACACCTGTATGTTTATCTAAATTAACTTACCAAAAATAGACAACCAAGGTAAAGATTCATTTGAAGGATTTAGGTTAACAAGAAACTTTAATAAACTATTTTGGCTTTTACTGTTAGTTAATCCACAAATCATTGATAAACAACTTCTTAGCTTTTCATTAGCCATAATTTTTTTACGACTTAAACAATTATATGCATATACAGATACACAAAATTCCATTATTGTCAAATGCGCAAATTGATAATAACAGCCTACATTTGTCTCAACTTTTTCGATAAATCCAAAAAGATTACCATCATTTTGATCAAAGTCGCTGATAAAATATTCAATATCTTTTTTGGAAAATATTATATTATTTTTAATAAACAACTCATAAGCAATTTTACAAATATTTAAAATATATCTTTTATTAAAACTGTCTTCCATTATCTCATATATCAATTTATCATTTTTCATGATGTGTTTTTGCAAAAAGTATAAAAAAATATTTGCATATAAATCAGTCATAGTTAAGAATGAATTTGTATATATTTTATTTGAATCACTAATAATTTTACACATTGAAGATAAATAAAATGGAACAGATGCCATGGCTTTTGCAATAGGCGAATCCTTTAAAGTTGTTTTTACAACTTCTTTTTTTTCCTCTTTAACATGGTTTTCTATATAATTGTTGATTCCATTTTCATTAAAACCCATTATTTGAATAATTGACTTGTCACTATGCTCTGTATATTTACTTTGGTATTGATCAATTGCATAAACTCTACCAGCAATTACATGTTTATATTTTTTAATATCTGTTAAAGTATTAACAACTGGGTAGTTAAAACTTGGATTTAATAATTCATTGAAATATATAAACTCATCTAATCCGTCAATGATAAACAGTGCAGTATGATTACTAATATTAAAATCGTTTAAAATATCATTGTAGAAAACATTTAATAAATCATTAATATTAGAAATATTTTGATGTTGATTAAGTCTCCTGCATTCTAAATAAAAAACAAGTTCAACATTTTTCCAAATTAAATTATTTGACCAATCAAGTAAACATTTTCTGAGCAACCATGTTTTCCCAATACCAGCTATTCCAGATATTAGTATTACTGATTTTTCTTTCATAAATATTTCACTATATGGAATTGGTGTATAACTCTTTTGCTTTTCAAGAAATTCTTTTCGTTCAACACTGAAAACAAAATCCAATTGAGTATTCACTGCATCAACAATACAAAGATCAACAAAAGTATTTATCAGATTAACATTTGCAGGTGTTTTTAGTAGTGGTTGAACTTCATTTATTTTTCCATAATTTACAAGATAATAGTTTTTCAGTGCTGCGCAAATCTCTGATATATCTAAATATAAATCATATGTCATCATCATCATCATCATCATCATCATCATCATCATCATCATCATCATCATCATCATCATATCATCATCATCATCATCATCATAATCATCATCATCATCATATCATCATCATCATAATCATCATCATTATCATTAACATCATCATCATCATCATCATCATCATCATCATCATCATCATCATCATCATCATCATCATCATCATCATCATCATCAACATCATCATCATCAACATCATCATCATCATCATCATTGATATAATATAACTACCTTTCTTGACATAAATTTTGCTAGCAATATCAGGTGTATTTGAAGAATCTAAATAAAAGTTATATAAAAATATTACTTTTGACTTCTCATTTAAGGTTATAGTTAGAAAATTTATGGATGATGATGAAGTGGAAAGTTCTTACGAAGAATCCTAGTTCCGAAAACATCCTTAAGAAAGCCATCATGACTGTTTGGACTCAAGAAATAATGCTGGAATATTGCCAAAAATTACTTGATTCAATGCCTGAGAGGATAAGGGCTGTTATAGCCAACTAAGGGCAGCCCACCAAATATTGACTTTAGAGATAATCATGCTTTTAAGATGCTTTTACTAATAATTTAATCATATTTTATAATTAAAACACAAACTAATTGTTATTGGTGTTAACTGCTTGTTATATTCAGGTTCTAAAAGCCATACTATAAAAAATGCAACGTTCTCATATTTATGGCCATGACTGGATGTATGTATGTATGTATGTATGTATGTATATATATATATATATATATATATATATATATATATATATATATATATATATATCAGGCTTTCCCAGGAAAGGCGTGCCGTCGCACGCCTTGTTTGTCCACGCATAGAATAAATTTTTCTGACTAACGGACCACGTTTTATTATTATGCGTTTCAAGAATTCGCGCCAAAACAAAGCTAAACGAAAATACCACAAAAATGCAAGCAATGTTAAAGTAAATAACAGATATCTGTTTGTGCTTTAAAATTAAAAAATGTATGTATATTATTAAAAAAAAAAATTTACCTATATTTTATTTATTTATTTTTTTAGAGTGGTAGTTATTTAAGCTATGAAAAATCAAATCAATAAAAAAAATCAAATCAAAAAGAAAAAGATTAATGTTTAAAGAAAATAAAAGGACCTTTTAATGTAAAATTTGTTTATGACTTTTATCAGTCAGTAATACTTTAAAATTCACGATAGAACTATAAACAATTTTTAAATGTTTCGTAAATACATTTAAATGTTTAAATGTATTGATTTTATTGTTTGAATATATTGATACGCAAGAAAACACGAAATTATTGCTATTTATTATTAAAATATGTTTGTTTTGAAGAAAATTTTATTGTCAAAAAAAGAAAATTTTATTGTCAAAGGATTGAGTTGTTTATTTTGCAACCATTAATTGACATTGTGAACGTGTGTTAATATATAATAATGTCCCGAAGAAACTATTTTCGTAACAATGACAACAGAAGCGATGCAATTATTTTTCTAACTTCTTTCGTAATTACAAAATTATACAATTGAATAATTTCAACGTAGTAAAAGGCGAGCATTGACTCAGTATAATCAGTTTAGAATAAGTCGAGAAAGAACTTTTTTCACATTAAAATTTTGTTATGTTTAAAATCTCAAATAATATATTTAATAATTAAAGCAGCAATTTATTTTCTTGTCTAAGTATTGGGGAATAAAGTCATTGCCTTTGCATAAACCTTTGTAAAAACTAAATTAAATGAAAAAGTTTAACCAAATTTGTCAAGCGTAAATAATGAATCAGTTTTTTAGAACATTGTCTGATAAAGTTCGTGAATAAATTACGTATCAAGTCTTTTTATTTTCGTGAAAACTTTATGACTTATCGTCATCTTTTCCTTGACTTGAATCAAATTTTGTAGCTGAAAATAGCAACCCTAATAAAAGAAAACAACAGTATAAAAATTTCGAAAAAAATGTTCAAAACATTTTTTTTTTGTTACAGAATTTTTTTTTTTATTATTTTAATTTATTATCAAAATATTTTTATTACATTTTACTTCGTTTCATTTTTTTAATATTATTTTTTATTCTCTGTGGATAATTTCCGCTTTCTTACGAAATATTGCCGTGGTCACGTTTTCTAAAAAATTTATTTTATGCGTGACTAGGCTGATATATATATATATATATATATATATATATATATATATATATATATATATATATATATATATATATATATATATATATATATATATATATATATATATATATATATATATATATATATATATATATATATATATATATATATATATATATATATATATATATATATATATATATATATATATATATATATATATATTATATATATATATATATATATATATATATAATTGTATATATATATATATATATAAATACATATGTGTGGCTGCTATATCCAATCGTAATCATTTTTTTCATCTTAAATGAAATAGAATTTTCATCTAGAATGTCCATAAGATTCCACTCTTGAATCTTATGGACATTCTCTTCTTTCCATTCCAGTCAAACAGGTTGACCCATTGTTAGACATTCAAATCACTCCGGCTTCTGTTGCAAAAGTCATATATCAATTAAACTCGTCTACAGCTTGTGGTCCAGACAACATTCCTGTCACAGTCTTGCAGAATTTCAATTCATCTTTCAATTCTTTCAATTTTTCAATTCTCTCTAAACTATTTAACAAGTGTTTGACTGAGTCTTGTTTTTCTGCTTGTTGGAAAATGGCATCTGTAGTTCCAAAATTCAAAAACTCTGGAGAAAATTCTGACCCCTCTAATTACCGTCCGATCAGTCTTCTTTCTGTTATGAGCAAGGTCTTTGAGTCTTTGATCAACAAATTCCTCACATCTCATCTTGAGTCAAATAAACTACTGTCAGACAATCAATACGGTTTTCGATCCTCTCGCTCTACGGCCGACTTGCTAACTGCTGTAACTGAAAGATTTTATCGTGCATTAGATGGAGGCGGTGAGGCTAGGGCTATTGCTCTCAACATATCTAAAGCTTTCGACAAAGTTTGGCATGCTGGTCTTCTCCATAAGCTTGCTTCATATGGTGTTTCTGGGAAAGTTTTTGAGATTATCAAATCATTTCTTTCTAACCGGTTTATTAAAGTCATCCTTGAAGGCCAACACTCTTCTTTATTTTCAGTAACTTCTGGGGTTCCCCAAGGTTCCATCCTAGGCCCTGTTTTGTTTTTTATCTACATAAATGATCTTCCTGACAACCTTTCGTCTAAAATAGCTCTTTTTGCTGATGACTCAACTTTATACTCCTGTCTTGACAAAAAGTCTTCTCTTTTTGATCGCCTAGAACAAGCAGCTGATCTTGAATCCGATCTCACTTCAGTAATAGATTGGGGTTCACAGTGGCTTGTGAATTTCAACTCTAAAAAAACCCAGTTGCTTACTGCAAACAACTACCGTAATATGGTCAACATTCCTATATTAATGAATGGCAATCCTCTTACTGAGTCCTCCTCTTTACGTCTTCTTGGATTATCGCTTACTACTGACCTTACATGGAAACCATATATACAATCGATTGCTAAATTAGCTTCTGCTAAGGTTGGTTCTCTTTATTGTGCTCGCCATTTTCTTACTTCTGATTCCATTCTCTACCTCTACAAATCTCTTATTCGTCATATTTGGGCTGGTTCTTCTAACGATTCACTTTCTTTTCTTGACAAGGTCCAAAATCGCATTGTAAATGTTGTTGGACCTGGACTATCTGCTAAGCTTGAACCTCTTTCCCATCGTCATAAAGTTGCATCGCTTTCTCTTTTTTACAAATACTATCATGGTCACTGCTCAAAGGAGTTATCATCTCTAGTTCCATCAACTAAAACTCATTCTCGTTTTACTCGTCATTCAGCTAAGTCTCATTCGTTTACTGTATCTGCCCCTGCATGCTCTAAAAACTTTAATTCATCTAGTTTTTTTCCCCGCACTTCAATCCTTTGGAACTCTCTTCCATCTTCATGTTTTCCTGACTCTTACAACCTTCAACTTTTCAAGTCTTCTGTCAACCGTTTTCTTGCTCTATAACTCTGTTCTTTTTTTTCCTAGTAACTCCCAACTTAATAGTGGTTGCTTGCAGGCTTGTTGGGAGTGAATGCAAATAAAAAAAGAAAAAAAAATAAATATTCATTACAAGGCCTGCACATTGATTGATTGGTATATATATATATATATATATATATATATATATATATATATATATATATATATATATATATATATATATATATATATATATATATATATATATATATTTATATTGATATATATAAATATATATTGATATATATATATATTCATTACAAGGCCTGCACATTGATTGATTGGTATATATATAAATATATATATATATATATATATATATATATATATATATATATATATATATATATATATATACATATATACATATATATATATATATATATATATACATATATATATACATATATATATATACATATATATATATATATATATATATATATATATATATATATATATATATATATATATATATATATATATATATATATATATATATATATATATATATATTTATATATTTACTTGATTTTTGACGTCATAAAATTCTTTTTATTTGCTTTTCATATTTATCGACATTAACTGCACCAATTTAGTTAATTACAGCAAAACTACTTGAAATTATATATATATTGTTGTTTTGATTATTTGATAATAATTAACTCTTTTTCGATTTGAGAGTGATCAATATAAAGTGAAATAATCACAAAATAGATCAATAAATAAATAAATAAAAGGTTATATGAGAAAAAAACAATTTTTTTACGGTTTAGCGTAAAAAAGTTGTTTTTTCTCATCTAACCATTTATATATATATATATATATATATATATATATATGTATATATATATATATATATATATATATATATATATATATATATATATATATATATATATATATTTATATATATATATATATATATACCAATCAATCAATGTGCAGGCCTTGTGATGAATAAATACTGTGAGACGCCTGAGCAGGACGTGATTTTTGACGTCATAAAATTCTTTTCATTTGCTTTTCATATTTATCGACATTAACTGCACCAATTTAGTTAATTACAGCAAAACTGCTTGAAATTATTTATGTAGAAATGTTATTAATTAAAAAATGTTTTGGAATGTTTCATTTTTTAATATGTAAAAACATTTGTTTATTTCTTGACGTTTGATACGTTTTGTCTATACTAAACG